TACAGTTGGTGCCCTGGCATTAGTTCATGCTGAGGTGCCAGCAGTTTTAGTTACCATCAGTGCAAATGGCAGTGAACAAACAACCTTTTAATGTTATGGAGATAATTAATTAATTATTTTTAAAAAGACATCCAGAATAATCAGGAAAAAAATGAAAAGCTTTTGAATGATGAAGAATCAGTGTAATATAAACAAGGTTACGATAATAAGTTAATTAATTAATTTAAAAATGTTATGGACATAGTTCTGACATCATGGACCCCTACTAAAAGGGTCTCAGAGTCTCTAGGAGTTTACAGTCCAAATTTTGAAAACTATTGCACAATAAAATAGGGAATCATAGTGGCCATTTAAAATTTCCAGATTATATCAAACGCTATTATAGGTGTTGTGAGGACGGAAGAAATGGGTGGTTCTCACGGTCTCTGCTCTCCTAGGAGTCTTCCTCGGGCTATGATGTCATGGAAGGCAGGGTGAAAATGCAAGACTTTTTAAGAGCTCTCTTGAGAATTTGGTTATTCAACTCTGTTTCTGCCGGTGAAAGTCTCTATTACTCATCTTCCCAGGATTTCAGGGCTGTGCGAGTCAGATTGCAGTGTCTGTTGGAGGGCTACTTTACTAGAGAAAGCACATTTATTTACTGTTAATTCTCAACCATGGGAATCCACATCACTTTGGCAGGTGCTGAAAAATAATTTACTCTGGGGAACCAGCAGTTAGCGTAATGGCTATGTCGCTGGACTCCCACGTAGTCGACCGCGGTTCGCGTCCGGGACCCGGTGGCTTAAAACTCACGCCGGGCGCATGTGCATGCGTGCCCAAGATCCCGAGAGGAGAGTGGAGGAGAAGGGATTGCGGCGTGACATCCCCCCTGTGGGGTGATTTCTCGCTTTCTGTCTCTATGTCTCTGTCTGTCTGGCAAGCGCACGCGCCCTATAGCAAAAAAACCTCTCAAAAAAAAAAAATTTACTCTGGTGAGATCCAAGATCTTCATCTCAAATATAGGCTTTGTACTGTTGGACTGACCATGATCATTTTTTAAAGTTGATGTATTTTTATTCATGATAGTGTGTATGTGCAAGAGAAAGATGAAAGAGAGAAATAGAAACACACCCTTGACAGGGTCTTGGCATATTGTGATCCCTTCCTGTGGCCTTCCAGCTTGCGGGATCTGGAGCACACATGGCTCCTTGTGTTTCAGGTCGACCCAGCCAGGGATCTGAAACCGCGGTCGCCATGTGACTTCCAGCGGTACTGCAGTTCGGTACAGTACTGACTGTGCCGCCAAGACTGGGCCCGTCAGCACTGCCTAACACTGCCATCAGTGCTCCATGTGACAGTTCATATGCAACCATGGAATTACAGCAGTGTTGCTGAATGGCCCAAGGATTATCCAAAGCTAAGTCCTAAACTGTGTATATACCCAGCCCATCCCAGGAAGGCTCTCGTGTCATCATAGCATTCCACCTATATTGTGTATACATAGATTTAAGCCTACAAAGATAGGTTTTTCATGTTTTTCTCCAAGAAAAAAGTTTTATATAAACTCATAATCACCCGAAACCACAACTTCAACAGCATTTACATTTGCTCCTTCTGTTAGAATAACCCTTATGACATTTACCTAAGTCCCTAATAACTTCTTACTCTGGCAGGGAATGTGGTTACTAGTTAGGGATTCCAGGAACCTGAATTCAAAGAATGCCACCTACCTTTGATTATAATTAAGGTAAAAATCAAGGATGCAGATGAAGATAGAGCAGGTGACATTTGACACAGTTTCAAACAGAGGAAATTTGACTTTCTAACAAATTTCTTAATCCTTTTAATAGAGCATTCCATTCACAACCAGCAAAACCAGTTTGCTCTATCTCAGAGGGAGCTCCTCAGGGCATGAGAAGTCAGTCAAGAGAAGGGCCACATTGTCTCTTTGTCCTTGGATTCTGTATGACCAGTGCTTTGGGGAAGTTTCCTCACTTATCTTCTTTCCACAGTGAACTTTTCTATATATATAAATGAATCCTTGTCAGTGTTGCACAGTGAAATCTTAGTCCTTTAACTAAGAAGTCTCTAAAAGGCACTCACAAATCCAGTGTCAGCATAATGCTTTCCATTGAACAGGGTGACTTTTGTTTCACATTGTTGCCTGTGAAGGCTGATCTGGGAGGCACAGCCAGACAACGTCTAGCTCAAAGCTTCTTCCTTTCTCCGGATTGCCTTATCTCTTTGGTAGTTCTCCCTGGAGGGAGAGAGTCAGATAACTTTCTGTCCTGGGATCTGACTATATTAAGGACTATTTTTGGTAATAGACATAGAGCCTACCACTTCCTTTTTATTTGTTGGTACCTAACAGGACACACAGCTCAGTTCTAAAGCCAAGATGAAACCTTTACCTGTGGGAGTTCCCCTGCAAGCGTTACCCACATTCAGGCATTAGAAGCAGGCCATCTGAGAAGGGGCATAAATGTCAGCAGTGTGCAGCAGGTTTCACACACTGATTTGTTTTGTTTCATTTTGCTTTTCTTAAGTGTGGTATACAGATATGAATAAAGCTGTGTTAACAATTAAAATGATGTGATGTCATGTTGTATGCTATTTTAAAAGTATTTCATTATCAGTATATGTAGTTATTTACAAGTTTCAGAGGTGGGACGTCACCTTCCACTCAATGGAGTAGAATCAGTCCTGCGCAGTGGTAGCGCTCCCAAGGAGGTCTGTGTCCACAGATAGATGGTGTAAAGACTGGCGAGCTTCCCTGTCAGCTAGGCAGGGTGCAGTGAAGAGGAAGAGCAAGCAACAGGCTTAGCCGCAGAATAGTTTCTGTGTATCATTCTTCTGAACCATTTGGTCTGTGAAGTTGGGAAAGTAGTTCCCGTTCACTGATTCTGTTTTGTTTTTGCATATAGGGTGCGCGCGCTAGCCAGAGGTATAAAAGATGGGGGCATAGAGTGGGAAATCACTCCTGGGAGAATGGCTGTGCTGCAATCCCTTCTTCTCCTTTCTCCGCTTGGGAATTTTGGGCGCATGCGCACACACGCACTGCTGTATGTTTTCCCACGCCTTGTTCCTGGGCTTGAACCACACAGTTGGCCATGTGGAATCCAGCTGCCTGAACTACCACGACACTGGCGAGACCCAGGTTCATTGATTTTTTTAATATAAAATGGCATTATTCAGGCGTATTTCAGAATTCAGAAACTTTCAGATTTTAGAAAGATGATAAAATGCATGTATTACAAGCAAGGGATTTTCAAAAAATTCATGGAAATGCATCTTGTGAAAAAATGATGGTGGATTTCAGGTTTTTCTTCAGAGGCACCAAAATAAACTCATACTATGAGTTCATTATTTACGTGAACTTTTGAATTCCTCTTGCATTTCCAGTGATATTGGGGTCCACAATTAAAACATTGTTATTCATGGAAATACGAATATTCACACAGAGAGGAATAAATTAAAAGTATCAAATGTCAACCTCATATCAAGTTTTGCTGCTAAATGTGTTTGCTGATATTCAGTTTTTACTTTTTATCTTCAGGATTGCAAATAAGGGGTTGAGGACATGTGTTACAGTGATAGAATAGAGCGAGACAAACCCAGTTGAATCCTGGTGGTACTTAATGGAGAACTGAGCTGACAGTCACAGAGCTGACCATTTGGGAACTTGTGTCTCTTCCTCCTGGGCTAGTTACGTTCTCTGATTTTGTCTCTGCTTATCTTTCAAACAGGGGCAATATTTGCCTTCTGGGTTGTGTGAGTACAAGAAGTTAATGTATGTCAGACACTGAATGTAGTGTTTTGGCATCCCATAGGTATTCAGTAAAGTTAGCAGTTAAAATTTCATCTCCTCCCTTACCCCTCTCCTTTTATTAGCTGAAAACGTATCAGTGCAATGGAATCAGTGCCACTCTAGAGCTAGGATTAAGTGATAAGAATTGTGTGAGAGTAGAATTTTTATATTGAAAAATTATTTCTTGTTAAATGACCAGTACCATTAAATGCTGAAATTTGTTTGTTACTTTGTTTGTTTTACCTTTCGGTTGGTTTTACCCTGTGATATTTTATGTGTTATCAGTGTTCTGAACCATTTGATTTGTGAAGTTGGAAAGGTAGATCAGGTTCATTGATTGGTAATGTAAAAATGGCAGGGTTAAGGTGTATTTCATAGTTCAGAAACCAAGTTTATTTGCAGAATAGACTTTTCAGTGGTGAATGAATGAGTTGGTTAATAATCTATCATATTTGAATCTTTCAAATGCTTCATTTTAACCATATTTGAAAGAGTATTTGCCACCAGCTGATCTGCCATTAGGAAACTCATTTAAAAGTCTCTCTCTAGGCACTCATCTTGTAGAAAACTTTGAAAAAGAAGTATAGAAAAGTTTCTTTGAAAAAGAAATTTGTCTAAGTACATTGTTGATGATGGTAGCATTCTAACAGATATAACTGAGGTTCATAATTTAATATGTTGGAAAAATGGTGTTGGGAGAAAAGTTTTCTTCATTTTACAAAAAAGGAAAGAAATTGCAAACATAATAATGGAACTTTTAGCATTAAACAATTTATTTTAAAGTATGTTTTGCAAACTGGACCTGTTTTTAAATTTGCAAATGCCTCCTTTTTTAAAAGGGAAGAGATTATTGTAAAAGAATTGCCTTTTGTCATCAAACTGTTTTTTTTTTTTTTTTTAAGGCCACATTATGTACTTTGTAATCCATTAACAGAAATTCCCCAGAAGAGCAACATCTGTTCTAATGATGCATAATCTTGACAACACAGGAAATTTTAATTTATTTTTCTGGCCTGTTCCCTTAATTTATGAAGATTATAGGTGCTTGCATCACTGTATTTTTTGGGTCAGAGACAGAAGACAAGGATTTCAAGAGAAGAAAGATGTTAGCTATTTACTGGGCATGTGCCCTGCAGGACTGATTAGCATTCAAGTGGGACAGGGTGAATCTGCCTATATTTATATGCATTGTATTGCCTGCCCTTTGCAGCTGAACTATCAGCAGAAAGTGGGCATCATGTACTGCAAAGCTGGACAAAGTACCGAAGAAGAGATGTACAACAATGAATCAGCCGGGCCAGCCTTTGAGGAATTCCTTCAGCTTTTGGGAGAACGAGTTCGCCTCAAAGGATTTGAGAAGTATCGTGCACAGCTTGACACCAAAAGTAAGAAAAACTTATACCCTCCTACTAGGCTCGTTTTCCTCCTGCTGTGTTGATGTGCATCCGCCAAATTATCCATGAAACAGCATTGTCCTTCATTGTAGAAAACTGCTAGCGATGGAGAATAGAAAGCCAGGGAGGAAGGTTGTAGCACCAGAACAGTGGAAGATCATAGTTAAAGTCATTAGGATTAGACGGTAGTGAAATAATGTTATTGGGGTGTGGATGGAGTAGAGCAATAGACACAGATCATACAGAGTTGTTCCTGGATAGCATTGTCTAGATTTCATTATGTTTAGTTGAATGAAACTTACAACCGTCTGATTGTAAGCCATAGAATTTTTTACTGTAATTCTTTCATTTTATAATCCTCATGCTTTATAGAGTCAGCCTTTGTATGGTTTTTCTTATTTGTTTTGTATTCTTTTAATATCTGGGAAGTTTGTGTTTCTACTATTACTCTCCATATTCCAACTTAATCTCTAAAAAAATAGGCTTCTTAGCTTTGGTATTAGTTGGGCTCATAAAATGTGTTGATTAAAGGCACAATAATAAAGTAGCCTGTTTAACTGCAGCTGTGAACTAAAAAGATTGTCCACTCCCATTCCCTAAGTTTTCAGTAAAATAGTTAAGTTCTCAAATACCTATTTTGGTCAGCATCTGTTGACTTGTGCTGTTTATCTACATGGAGGTGGCTTTAAATTTTATCTTACAATCCATCCATAGACACCTGTGGCCAGTTTTTCTTTGAGAGGGTCTTTGGATTAGCACATCTGTATTGCAGTCCATAGTAATCTCTGATTTTCTGTACAGGAAATTAAATAAGGCGTTGAGTCATGAAAACAGAAAAGCATTTATAAACTCCACTGCAGGGAAGAATTTCCTGTTGCTATGGATTTGCTGTTGCCAACTTGGAAACGACATGCAAGAAAGACTATTAAAACCCATAAATAGCCTAGTCTCTTAAATATTATTCTAACATTCTATACTTTGCTTGCAAATGTATAAAATGTTAAATCTTAATGTGCCCTTAAACTCTTTATCCAGATATTCTGATATTCACCCCATACAAATCATTCATGTTGTCCCAGTTTGTTGTGTTGTATAAATTAATATCACCACAAAAAACTACAGAAAAGATTGGGGAAGAGAAAATGTAATAAGCACTCTGATTTTATATGGAATGATCAGATTGGAGTTGATAAGACTGTGTATTATTTATGTATTTACACACTCCGAGTCGCCCCTTGCCGATGACGGGCCATGTGAGGAATGTGTAGCTAGCATACAGTGAAGCAGTGTGGCATCTACTAGGGCACTGGAATAAGTATAATAAGTACATTGTGCACCTTTTGCTTCAATAGCTCAGGAACTGCAGAGGCTACAGGGAGATGAGCCTGGATTAGTGATCTGCTTCTAACAACACAGTTTTAGGGTTATATAATACGTTCAGCAAGTCAGGGTTCTTCTTCATTGATGTGCACTCCTTTAAGGAGTTCAGCTCTTTGAGGCACGTCCTTTTGAGACATAACTCCTGAGAAAGATGCAATTACTTTTTCCTTCCTCTCAGGATGTTGTGAACCAAAAGTAGGAAAATGTTACCACTCTGAAGCCCTGAAGATGGCAGTGTGCAAAATTATCTCTTTTACCTCGCATGAGTACAAGCAAAACTGGGGGAGTCCATTAGCCTTGTCATTGAAACCCACATTAAATAATAGCAGGTCACCAAAATAGATAACAGCCAGCCTCCGCACACCTTCACAACCTCTTAACTAGCCATGACACACCACAGACAAGACTTTGCTCTTGTCTTTTGTGACAGGATCTCACCACATTTTATTTACCTTTATTTTGTGTCAAGAATTTCTTTCCATCTAAAAAGTAAAAATTCTCTTTTCAGAACACATATTCTTAAAGAATCATTCCTATCATAGATGTCACTGCATCTGTGGACTTGTAGTTTTCATCAAATTAAATATTACTTGCCATTATTTATTTGTTTATTTTTGTCCATTTTCTTTCCTTCTGAGTCATCAGTTACACCTGCTGTATCATTCATTAGTGTATCAGAAGTTAATGAGGCAGGAACCAGCAGTTAGTGTAATGGCTATGTCACTGGACTCCCACCTAGTCGACCGTGGTTCGTGTCCCGGACCTGGTGGCTTAAAACTCACGCCGGGTGCATGTGTGTGCGTGCCCAAGATCCAGAGAGGAGAATGGAGGAGAAGGGATTGTGGCATGACTAACCCCCTGGGGGTGATTTCTCACTTTCTGTCTCACTATCTCTGTCTGTCTGGCAAGCGCACATGCCCTATAGTGAAAATCTCCCCCCACCCCCAAAAAAAGAAGAAGTTAATGAGGCGCTGTTTCGTTATTTTGTTTTCAACCTTTTATTCCCCTTTGTTCTTCAGTTCAGATAATTCCTGTTACTGTGTCTTCAAGCTCATTGTGGTTTTTTGTTTTTTTTTTTTTCCCCCGTAGTATCTTGATCCACTATTACTCGCGTCTGATGGAATTTACATTTAAAAGCTTCAGGCCTAGAAGTTGCATTTGATCATCTTTTTCTCTCACTCTGCCACATTAGACTAGTGTTATCCTTTATATCCTTGAATATCGTTACAGCAGTTGTTTTCAAGTCTGCATCTGCTAATTCCATCATCTCTATCATTTTAGATTTTCCTCTTGTAGTAGATTTTCTACTGCTTCAAGCTATGTTTTATTGGTTCACATGTCTGGTTTTTTTAAATTAGATATTAAATATTGGGGATGTTTTGTCATTCAATGTCTGGGTATTGCTGTCTTCTTTACAGTTTGAGTTTTGTTTTAGTAGAGAATTAATTTAATGTCAGACCTGCTTGATCTTTATGAGTCTTGTTTTTCAGCTTTGGTAAAGCATACCTAGAGTAGCCTTTACTCTGGCTAATTTGACCCTACTTCTAGGGAAGGACTTTCTGTACCTAAATGCCTTCTTATTCAATGAGATGTCTCTACTATGTCCTGTCAAAACTTGAGTGTCTTCTAACTCTGTGTGAACTCTGGGACTTGTTTGGCTTATAATTCTTTGGGAGTTCTTTCTCTAATGGTTTTTTCTTTGCTTCACTTTCTATAGTTTAACTCTTTGTATGTACAGCTTAGTATTCAATCTGAAACTCAAGGGGGACCCCCATTCAGATTTTCATACCTCTTTTGGTCTAGCATTTCCTCCCCTTTGGCACTCTGCCTAGTTAATATCAGCCACTTTAGACTTCCTAAACTCCTCTTTTGGCTTCTCCCTTCAAGGCTCTGCTCTGTACCATTATCCCAAAAATGTCCCTAGATAGAAATCCTAGGAGATCCTAGGGCTCAATTTCATTCATTCTTTTTTCTCAGGAATTGACAGTTGTCTATTGTACAGAGTCTTTCAATAGTTGTTAAGGATATTTTCTCAAATTTTCTAGTGATTTACAGTGGAGCTGAGCTCTGTACTGAGTACTCCATTATGACAGAAAGCAGAAGTCTCAGAGATATATGAGATATAATCCCCAAATATCCTTCTACATGCCAGTTATTCCATTTTACAGGATTGTCTTCTGTAGATTACCTAACACACCCACCGTTAAATAGCTAGTAAGCATTAGGGAAATAGAAGAGTTCCTAATGGTACAGTTACTACGAAGTGTTCAGAGAAGGAACAAGAGTGCTTAAGTGTAGGCTTAAGGACCGTGAGCCCCAGATGCAGATTTTGGTAGTATCTTGCCCCCCTCACAAGCCCCCGGACCTTCTTATGATTATGTTCAGTTTTTAGTCATTTTGTAAAGGAGGGAGAGCTTCAGGAAAACAAGGACCAATGGAACTATTGAACCATTTCTTTTTCTCCCATTTATCTGTACAGTCTCTTTTCTCATCTCAAAAATAAGGATGTGTAGCAAACAAACTACATATAAATATGTCACAGTCTGGAGCAGTTCTGCAATGAAGAAATTTTTAATAGTGAATTTAGGTTTTTTCTCCTGTTTTTGATATCCGTATTTGGAAAATACAATCACTAGATAATTATCCTTTCCTTATAATACAGTAAGTACAACAATAAACTTCCCGCCATGCGGTTTATTATTTGAAAGCTGAGATCAACCCCATTTTAAGCTGCGCATATGGATTATCACTTGGGAAGTTATTTCCTGGTGAGTCTTGCCTGTCAAGTCAGCACATAGGAGACCTACTGTAGAAGCCCTCTGTGAAACATTTACAGCCCCATCTTCATTAATTTGCTACAATACTAGTAAATTCTTGTTGGTTCCTCCATTTTTCCATGAGATTTAATGTCTAGATTTAAGGCTTTTGGTTAAGAAAATAAATTATTTATTTGGAATATTTACACTGATGAGGAAAGGGATTAAAACTAGCGCTGCTGAAGTATTTTGCACATGCAAAGAGCTATTCAGAGTTCTAGAGATTGAGGAGTGAAGAAAAAGATTATTTTAAAGGAAACTACACTTTTTACCTTAACTGCACAAAATTCTAAATTCTAACCAATACATTTAATGGACATTCTTTATGGACTAGCAATTTTATATGCATTATTTCACTTAATCTTCCCAGCAGTGAGATTACTAAAAAGTAGAATAGAGAATAGAAGTGACATATTTGTGGTCATTTGGCAAATGATACTGTTGACATTCAAATCCAGATCTTTTTATTTGCAGGGAACACAGGTTATTATAGCTACCTGGCAATATGAGCAATAGGTACAAAATAGAAGTGACTGAGTCCTAAGAACCAGCTGCACGCTTCCTTTGTCCTTTTTCTCTGAAAGAGTAGTGAATTTTAGACCTTGAGCCCAAGCACATTCATACATTTCTTGAACTAACAGTATGAATTTGCCTCTCATAGCAAAGGGTTGCAAACTCTTAATTTCATTCTCGCTGAAGTAAAGTAGCCTATCTCCTCACCATGACTAAAGATACATTGAAAAAAACATTGATAAATATGGTGGTTGTCAGAGCAAGTGGAATTTGTGACTTTCC